CAGGATTGCTGAAGGGTTTGTTGTGGGTGGGCTGTGGAAAACTAGTGCCCAGCAAGTTGAGAAAATCCAACAGAATGGCTTTGCTAAACTAAAGCTGTGAACAAACTGAGTTACATTTTCCATAAATCCTAAATTTTGGTTGCCTTCAGAGGAAAACTGTCCCCACCTTTCTTCTTTCTTGCTTGCAACCATCAAGTCTGGATTTTAATTTCCCTAATTTTTTCTTCTCAGTATTAGCACAGGAATGGAGCTTTAGCCAAAATGGAACTTTAGGAAGTGGCACCCATGGGTATGATTTAATTGGTGTGCTCACAGTACAGTACAAAGTCTTGTATAGCAGCACTGCACACGAGTTTTCAAAAAAATCATTGTTCTTAGTTGTTTTTAAGAATTTAAGTAGAAAAAAAAATGAACACCCTATTACACATTACTTTTTAGAAAAACTACAACAAAATTATTGCTTAGCAACATTCCTTTCTCTATTTCTAACCTCTGTTTCTCTTAGGCTCTTTGAAACAGACACAAAAAAGGGGAATTGAAACAGACACAAAAAACGTCAACACGAATTGTTGTTCTGCAGAACTTTTGCAGCCTAGCTGGAATTAATTCAGCACCAAACTAATTTGGGGGCTTTAGGTTTTCCTCTGTTTGTATTGCTAGATTAACATGAAATGTTTAGAATAAAATTACTGGTCTATGCAGACACCAGTGTGCTTGATCAAAGTATAAAAAGATCTTACATCACCAAACCTGACTCTTAAATACTGCAGAAATGGTGAGAATTCCTTCTGGGATCTGACCAGAAAAGAACTCTGACAAGTCCATGAGTGCTCTTACACTTAAGTTTCTTACTGTAGCTCACTCCCAACTAGAAGATCAAGCAAACTGTTGGTTTGGGGTTTTTTTTCCTGGGTTGTTTTTTTTTTTTTAAGAGGGGAAAAAAGCATCACTAAGTGGTGCATTTTCTGACCAGGTTAGAGCTCAGGTAATTGGGATGTACTTTATGAGGACAAAGGAGATACTTGAAGTTAACACTATGAAGTACTTGTGATACAATAGCTGTCATTGACTCACTAGTGACCTGCAATTACCTCTCCCCTGCCAGGACTGAGCCAACACACAATGGGATTTATTCCTGTATAACAGTATTGGATTAACATGACAAGTTAAGCAAAAAATGTCTCATAAATCACTTCTCCATTAAACACTTAACTGCCAAAAACTCTGACAGTTTCATCTCATTCTCTGTACAGCTCTGTCCTTGGATTAGGACACAAAAACTTCTGTAAAAGCAAAAGGACAGTGGTGGTAGAAATAAGGTTGTTTTCTTAATACAAAGAAATTTGAAGATATCAGAAATATTCTGACCTACCTACATGACTTAGGTAAGGTAAGTAAACTGAATGAGCAAAATGAGTTTTATAACTGGACATTAAAAGAACAATTTTCCACTTTCAAGAGGCTACTTGCAATCTTGTGACCTACATCAAAAATTGAAAAGCCTTTCTGTGGAGCCCAGTGTGAGAGGTAGGAAAACTGCCAACATTTTACCCTGTGAAAACCTGGAGAGAGGTTAGTTGTGGAGAGACTATTAGAGAGGTAAACAGACCATTAGCCCTTCCTATGACAAATTAATTGGCAGTGAGATACGGATCACACCAGCAGAGATTTTTTCCTAAAAATTACAAGAGTAGAAATGACTGTAACAAGAAAAAAAATAACTAACTCAAGGAGACAGTGTGTTCTGTATTTCCTGGCAGGAAGAGAACTGTTAAAAACAAGGCACTAATGGGCATGGAAAACCATGTCAGTAGTACTGTACAGGAAGAAGTTACAGACAGGAAGGTTTGAAGGATGTGCTGGAGAGCTTTTGTACTCAGACAAGCTCCAAAAAATAATCTTCATCCTTAGAAAAAAAATCAACCTGAGTGCTCTTTGCTGCCCCAGCTGGCACGTGGTACAGGAATCAAAAGCAGAAGCTGCTGTGACAACTCAGCTAAGATCTCTAATGAAGGATGGTGCTTGAATTGCTTACTGTGATGGACCGAATTGTTTCCTAAATAACATCACAGTTAGTAGCAAATGCTGCAAAGAGAAACCAGGAGTTGTTCTGCTACAGTTTGGGAGGAATAATGTCAGCATCAACATGAGCAGCGACAGCAAACATGAATAACCACAACCAGGCACAGAAAAACATGTGGGAGACACAGCCAGTGAGCTGAGAGATGCAGACACCCATTGAAGGAGCTTGTTTCTCAGGCATTATGGACTGAGGAAAAACACAGGTGTGTGTTGAATGAAGCAGGAACATAAGTAGGTGGATGTGTGATGCATTTCCTCTGTGCTGAGAGAAAAGGCCACTTACTCATGGACTATGGAAATGAGCAGCAGCATTGTGTGCCGGACTTAAACTTAACTAGAAGTAAAACCCAAAGGAGGAGCTTGGACTTGACAATATTTCCAATTCCCTCTATTGATAAGAGTAATTTTAACTTTTGTCTTGCATACTTTGCATCACAATGAATGCTCTTTTTGGCAGCTGGTTACAGCTTGGAGAAAAGATTCCAAGTTTCAGGCAGCACCACTGTATCTTAAGAATTCTAGAGAACATCTGTTCTTATCTCACATAATAACCCAGAAGAAAGAGGGCACTGAACAGCAAACTATTCTTACAAGTTCCTTGAGTAGAGGGTAATGGGTAATTTTTGGCTTCTTTCCCCACATCAAATAATGTAATGCTTCACATTATGGTAGATAGATCTCTTTTCTATGGCAGCAAAGACAACTTCCACAAAGGTAAAGCTGAAAAAGGAAGATGCAATAGAAAAGAAACAATTGTGGAGCCTGCTCTACAATGAAGATGCAATAGAAAAGAAACAATTGTAGAGCCTGGACAAGGCTCTACAAGTGCAAGGATGAAACTGCATTTTTGCTCCTTTGCCTTACATAAGTATGTTACTGATGGCAGATGTCTGGTGATTTCAGGTGTTGATGAGAGATATCTGGTGATTTCAGGTGTATGCAAAGTAGTTCAGAAATGAAGTCAGGTTAAGCAGCAGATTAGGAATGAAAACAGGTGTCCCACACCTCCTTACCTGCCTGACTGCTGTGGCTGAAGGATATCCAGCAGAAGCTGTTTCACTTCACTAGGGGACATCTGGTATAAGTCCTTGGCTGGCATATCCCCAGCACGGATCTTCAGTTCATACTTCATAGCATGGATAATCCACCTGAAGGAAAGGGAGGAATACATTTAGTAATTAAATATGAAGTTTCCAAATACAAAAAATTAGTCTTATAAAACAGCTCATAAGAATTCCACATGATCCTGCTATTTGGCTGTCAGGACATGCATAAAAGATCTGACAAATACTCTACTACTCTTACCTTTTTGATAGGAACATGACACAAACTGAAAGGGATAATGCACAGATTTTAAGGGATGTGTTGAGAATGTGCTTTCCATAGAGGAAATAGATTGGGCTCCATCCCCTACATCCCATGTTCATTAAGAAAAACATTTACCTGCCTTTTGATGTTAAAATTCCTACTCAAAATTATGCTCTGACAGCATGTGAATTTTGCTGATGAGTTTTTAAAGAGCCATAAAAATTAAAAGATTTTACATTTAAAAAGACTTGAGGGCTTATTTATAGTTTAGCCTTTGAAACTCCTTTTTGCAGTCAGTCACACTTTTCTTTTCTCTTCCTACTCCCTTTTGAAAAAACTTGGATTCAATAAAATATGGCAAAAGTTAATACTTTCAGCCTCAGGTATCAGAGAGGCAGAACTTGGCAAAGTATTGAAGGAAAATGCTGAGTTTTATTCCATGCATTATATAAAACCAGTGCTCCAGCCTCTAACCTAACATCAAAGGGGCAGTAAGGTATAGCTACATCTGAAACAAGCAAACTGAGCACAGAGCTTGGTCTTTTTCCATCTACATTGTTTCAGTTCAAGTAGGTATTACCAATGAAAGCAAAAAGAAACTTGAACTAGTTTTTCTTCACAGTTAGGTAAGACCTGAGCAAGTCTGGGCTGCATCACAGAGCCTTTCTGTGCCTATCCAAAAGCACAGAGTGTTCCTACACGAGTTACCCTCTCATCAGCACAGCCACATCTCTTGGGCATTTCATTATTTAGCCAAAGAGCTGCAGAATGGTTTTGCTTATGTGAGTCAAGTCACAGTGTTTTCTACAGAATTCTTAGCACCTACAAGGGATGAGGAGATGTCTGACCAGCTGATCCAATGCTGCTTTACACTGGAGGATTCCAGGACCAAGCACTAGGGGTTCAGATACCAGAGGATATTAGGCAACATGGACACATTGCATTACGCAGAACATAACTGCTTGAGCTTATTTTAGTGGATGAATTGGGTCCCTCTCTCATTGCTGTAATGAACACAAGTGGCTCTAGGATTGGTCCCTTCTTCACTCACAACTCAAATGTGTCTGTGCAAGTCCCTCCTGGGTATTTTCTCTTTGCAGTGGCTTACAAACCAGAGCAAAGTCAAGAGTGGACCTTGTGCCAAGCTCTTCACTGATAAGAGGTGGGTAGAAGTCAGATGGTTGGGAGTTTTTTGCAGTAATAGGGCTGTCAGGAACTTGATCTATTTCAACATGAAACCCTGAAAACAAATCAATAAGAAGACACTAATTTTTTTTTCCTGTGAGAAAGTTAATTTTGCTCACTGGAGTGGGTGATAACACTGAAATAAAGAAAATTGAATCTCTGGCATTAACCTTGGAAGAAAGAAAAAAAAAGTTGCAGAAAGGATTAGCTACAGAGAATGAGGAAGGGGAGGAAAGAGCAAACATGGATCTGCAGAGGGGACAGAAAAGCATTTAAGTGCAAAAGGATAAATGTACCTTCAGTTAAATGTAATACAGGCAATTTGAAACATTTTTGGGTTTATGATGACTGGAATGTACTGCTACAGAGGGAATATGAATCTTGTGTGCTGCAAAAAAAGGCTGCTGGTATCTCCCTCCCGAGCTGAAATGCTCTATTTTCCTTTATGAAAAAAAAAAAAAAAATCACTTCAGTTGTGATTTTAAAGCATGCTCCCTAATTCTGTAAATCTCAGTCAGGAGCACCTGGCTCTTCAAAGAAGTGCTTACTCAAACACATGTCTCTGCCTAAATGTGAAAAAATAATTAACTCCTGGAGATAGCGAAGTAGATGCAAATACCATGGAATGTGACAACACTCAGCACAGACTATTTGTAGGTCACCTTGTCAAAGAACTAATGGAACAATCCAGCACCTAAATGATGCTTTAAATGTGACTCAGGTTTGTGGTTCTTGGCTTAGCTGAACCTATTTAGTATAAAACTGGACCACTAGGCAGCTGAGGAACAGCCCAGAAGTGGTGTATGTCTCTGCTGTAGGGATACTATTCAGCTGGGATGTTTGGTTTGAGGGTTTTTTTTTGAAGAACAAAAATGACATTTTTAGCAACCTCATAGGAAAAAAAGAAATAAAAAAATCAGCATTTGCTTTACCATGGCAGGTAAGTATTTTTGTGCAGAGAACTGCTGATGAACAATGTCTTTGTTATACCAGATATCAGCTTTTCAACCTCACTGAGTGTACCTTGGTGCCTCACAATACTTTAGAAACAGCTGCAATGGTAAATACATTTGAACAGCAGAAGACTTAGTACCTGAAGTCCTCATTACAGACAACAGTCTAAAGGAAAAAGCTTTCTTTTTAGGCATATTACTGTGCTGAAACTCTGAATATAGTAGTTTAAGTACCCAGAAACGCTCTTTCCCAGGGATTTGCTGCTTATGGTTGCCAGATTTTAAGACCCATTTAGACAAGGCAATTTTATGAGCTAAGCACTTGCTAGAAACCAGAGAAGCAACCAGAAGCATATGTTGACCTGGAGGAGAACTGTGTGGTGTCAGAAGGGAATCAGATTCATGCTGCATCCTTCCTAGATTATTGCATTTATGCAGTCTCTGGCATTCACTCCTTCACCCCAAACCTACATGACATAAGTGACTGCTCAAGTGAGCAAAAAGCTTTTAAAGGCCTCCTCCAAGAGCCTTAATCCTAGATGGCAGCTTTCCCTTCTGCTCCCTCAAGTCCTGAAAGTCTGACAGTAAAAGCTCTCAGGGTCCACTGCTGCTTCCCTCCCTGCCAGCACAGCACATCCCTAGCCCCTGGCCATGCCCCTGTAAGCTGCCTGACAGGGGGGCAGCAGTACAGCCCATGGGCACTGGAAAGGCAGAGCAGGCACTGGGCTTGGTGTGATCCAAGAAATTTCAACTCTGTGTCCACATCACACATTTGGCACTAAGGAAATCCATGCTAGTTACCTGCCCAGAGAGATCACATCATACCTGCAACCTAGGACAGAATAAAGAGGTTTCTGTAGAAAGTGCCTTGTTGCCAATGCACAGAGAGGAAACTGGGAGCAGTCTGTATCCAGCTGGGGAACTCTGGATGGCACCCAGCATGCTGTGGATCTGCTGTCTCAGGACACCACTAATACACCCCAGTGCACACTTCATCCTTTCAGGTATGGATACAAGGCCAGTTGCAATGCACAGCAGCAGCCCCTAGCCCCCTGCACTGCTGGCAGAGACAGGCACAGGCTGTTGGCCAGCTGCTCCCTGCCTGCTCTGCCCCTGGTGACACAGGCAGGACGTTGTGTGGGTTGGCTGCCAGCAGGACAGGGTGACCTGGGGGCAGCACACTTGTCACTGCTCATTTGCTCTACAGAATGCATCTAACCCCACCACGCTCCATCACTCTAAGGATCAAGCTTGGAAAAA